TTAGAAATTGTATAAAGAGATCATTATTCCTATTTATCGACCAAAATCTTAGGCGTTACWTTGCTSTAACCGGYAGTTATCCGCAGTATTTTGCAGCAACCTATCATGTCGATCACATCATCTATGTTCTATGTTTTTATTGACCCACTACTAAGGGCTGTTAACAATAAAATTAATTTCTGTTTAGGATAATCCCCATCAATCAGTGGATTCATATCGGCGTTACTTTTGATATTGATGCAAAGAGAGTGAAGATCTACCTTAATGGCTCACTAGACAAAACCCAAACAGGAGGCTYATCGGGAGGAAACATGTGTCTATATACTCCCAACAATTATTGGATTGGAAAAGTCGGCTATACGGATGAAGATTTCTTCAAAGGCTGGATGAAAGATTTATTAATGATTCCTCGCGTTTTGCAAGATTCTGAAATGAAAGCWYTTGCAGGTGAGAGGATAGTTTTCATATGTGTATGAAAGTTGTATGGAGAGTTTCCCTTTTTGCCAAGGGTGGAGGGTACGTTCAACAGCTGGGTCGAAAAAGGTGTTTTAGAACTAGTAATAGTTTTAAAATTGGATTGACACGCAAGATAGTAACCAGACACAGCGCTGAAACAGYTCTTAAACTAAGTGCTCAACAACCAATTGAGCTGGCTTTTAAYAATGATACCAACGATGAGGTTAGTGCGCTTAAGAGTTCCTCAATCATAATCATATTTTAGATGGAGAGCGAAGAGCCTGGATTGGTTTAAACGACAAAGCAAACGAGGGGGTACTCCAGTGGTCCAACAACTCACCCCTGACTTATAGAAACCTGGAGCAATTAAACAGAGAGTCTACAGATTGCAGCACAGCGACATTCGTGGAAAGATTTCCTGAAAAATGGAGCATGAGAGTCTGTCAGGAAGAATCGTTTTTCATTTGCAGAAAATAGCCAAAAGGCCAACCAGCATAAACGTTCACAAGGGACAAGACAAAATATCTTCCAAAAAGAGACCTTTATGCTGCATAGAGCTGTTTGGAGCTTGAGCTGACGGGTCTGTTCTTCTAAATAACTGTTCTTGTACGAATTTTCTCCTGGGAAAGGGATTTTGAGCTACATTGTTGACAATCTCACCATCAAATGTGGCGCGCTTCTTTAAAACAATTCTGTTCCTTTCAAACATTTTTATGGTCAAAAACGGCTTATATTTTTTAGTTAGGAAGTTTATTTTCCTGGAAAAATGTTTTAGAAAGTATTCGTTGCCTGTAGAGTTCTTTTTTCCAGAATTTCTCGCTGACAACCAGTTGAAACTTATAGCTGGCCTGGACATAAGAACAGATATATTTCTCCCAGGAACCCGTCGGSTCCTCCTAGWGCTTCCCAGATCATCAACCCAGCACGTCACATCACCCATCATGTGAAAACTTGCACCTGTACAATAACAATCATCACTTATGAAACGAGATGGGTTATGAAAAAATAATATAGTGAGAAACTCAAAATGCACATCACTTTGTCTGACATTATATATTGTCAAGTAGCAGAGATTTAGAGATTTAATGCTAGAGTAAAATACAGAACATGAAGAACTTTAAGTTCATAATTTGGGACAAAAGTGATCTTTAAAAACTCTAGTATTAATCGAAAAGAGTATTAATCGAAAAGAAGGTGCTTTTCTGGATTTTCACACTTAAGATTTTTGCTATGTAGTGGCGTTCACGTTTCCAAATTTAAAGACGGTGAATAGAGGAAAAGCTTATGATCGAATCCAATGAATTAAAGTTGTTCGTCGAAAGTTGTTTTGAAAACGTTTATTTTATAAATTTATATCAAATTGTGATATTTCGGTTAACCTGTTCGTCAAAACAGCAAAATGATTGCTTAATAGTGGTAATGTATCTTATAATGGAACAAGAGTCGATCCAAATAGGCGACGACAAGAAGTGCGCGTTTTCTTGCACAATGGTGTCGCTCGGTTAATTCTAAGATCTCAACCTTGAAGAAGACGATCTCAGTATGATTCTATCGACGTTCGTTCTCCCAGTAGGCTATGGCCAAAACCCGCAATAACATGAAAAAATTTCCATATCTGTCACAACATGATAACGTTATTCACAGTATGAAATTATTATTTTTTACTACTTACAAGATATTTGCAGGTTAATCCTTAATTAGGCACATCATTATTTCATTTTTAAGTATTGTGACGTCAGTAGCATATGCATGGGAATAATGCATGTGCTACATGTTTTAACATTTGAGTGTGACAGAAAATATGTCGTAAAATCTTGGTTATAATTAATGATGTTATAGTGACATATGAGTAACTTGATAGTAATAAACGCTAAATATACTGTAAGAGTACCATATTATGTTATTCTAGAGTCTATACCTTACTGATGTCTGTCGTGGTCGTCGTTGTTATTGTTGTTGCTGCTGTCAATKTTATCATTGTTGTTTGTTGCTGTTTTCGCTAGTTTTAACATAAAAACTGCAGATATTTTAGGGTATATTGAGAACAATGCTACAAAGGAATTTAAATAATTGGCATTGTGTTTATGCTTTATTGAATTCTTAGTTAGYTGATAAYTAAATCTTATTTAGCAATACATATTAAGAATTGTTTCATGCTTATGTGACGTGCACTCTAGGGTATATTCAAACGAGTGTTTATTCGATTCCAAAACGCGCAAAATGAACGAAGTTGGGGAGATACATCAATTGTATTGATTATTGTTATGTATAAGGCAAAGATTTTTAAAAGAGGTGAATTTTTCATTCATTTTTCATGTGAACACAACCTGTTGTTTTATTTCCTTTAGCTATCAATTTTAGAAAAACGTCACGAACTTAGTTGCATGACAGAAATGTCTTGTACCCACAGGTCTGAACTAATGATATTAACAAAACATAACTAATTAATAATTAAATRATTACTGGGAAAAAATATACACTTTTCCTGTCTCCTTGTCAACATGTCAAAGTGCTTCTAAGTGAAGCAGTCAAGTTTTTCATATAAGCCAGCCAAGGTTGAGAGCAACTCGATGATTTTCTCAACTTGGATTCCAGCTTTCATAGCTTTATTGAGCGCCCAACATGTATCAAGCTCTACCAATYGGGTACGAGAAGTTAGCTACGATTTAGTTCCTGACAAACTTCTGCAGCTGCCACAAGGAATGGAACAGAAGTCGACCGAAGTAGACGACGCCATGGACTGCATGTTCTCTTGCACYAGTAAAGATTGGTGTCKTTCGRTTAATTTTAAGATCAAACCCCTTGAAAACGGTCTTCRTGTGTGTGAGCTTCTCTCTTCTGATCGGTTCACAAACGGTACAACCATAAAGCAAGATAATGGATTCCGTCATTATAGTAAAAAGGTAGGCTGAATTTAGCAATTAAGCCTTTATACGCTGGTAGTAGTTAACGACCGGTAAGAACATTTTTATCATATAATTATCTATGAAATACCTACATTTATCATATAATTATCTATGAAATACCTATATTTCTCCATTTCGTAAAGTTGATATCTTCACTAGTGAAAATAACACATTCGAGGTTTCTCTATATAGTGAAAGTAAGAAAAAAGCTATTTTACGGCATAATTTGCTTTCAAATGTAATTATATGATAAASAGAATATTACATGGTCGCTTGGAGATACGAATTTTATCTTCTCGTGTTGAAAATCTTTTCAACACTCGAAGATAAAATCCGTATCTCCGTGCGMCCATGTAATATCCTCTATTTCTTCATTTCGTAAAATTGATATTTTCACTAGTGAAAATAACATTCACGGTTTCTCCATATAGCCATTTGAAGCAAGAAAAAAGGTATTTTACGACATAATTTTGATCCGGGGATTTAATACTCTTTTTACAGCACAATTAACGATAAGGCCGGGGAATTAACCTATCGGATCTAAATCAAAGGAAATATTCTTGATGATGAGTTTAACTTTAGAAAAATCTGCAAATTTTAGCCAGAGCCGACTCTTTGTGTAAAAGATTTGAGAAAAGTTTGACTGACATGTTTACAATTCTGAGTGGTTGGACAATGTCATTTCAATCTTTTGGTTTGACAGTATTTTATAATTCAAGATAAGTTTCAAATCCTCACCCACGAAGTCCATGCGCGCGGCATGTTTGAAATGAAACAAAACTGGATTTGAAAGAGCCATGCAGGAGTCTTCGGTTATTATGATTAGACGGCAATTCTTCATAAAATTGTCCATAGGCATACTATATGCATTTACCATATAATAAGTATAGGTAATAAGATGGTTTCGAGTTAAATTTGGAATTAATTTGCACGAGTTTGTTTTTCAAAGATGCCATAATTGCGTGAGGCCGTAGKCCGAACGCAATTTGGCTCTAAAAAACAAACGAGTGCAAATTAATCCAAATTGAACGAGATAACCATCTTATTACTTATTAATAATATACATGAAAAAATTGAAGACAAAACTGTCAAGGCTAGACAAGGAGCCAACGACAAAAACAACATGTAAGCAAAATATCATCAATGCAAACTAAGTCTTTTTATTTTCTTCTTGACAAACAATTATTACACTTGTCTTACTATCAAAGCTAGCAAAAAAATACCAGTTTATAAGGTTTTCTGTTGTACAAAACAATTAAAAAAATTGAAGCATTTCAAAACTTGTGCTTTGTCATTTTTACTGATAAAAAACATGATTTACTCCATTTTTACTCGCAATTTATTCTGGGTGATTGATTTGCGACCAGGCCTGGATATGAATTCGCCAAGGTTGTAAGCCAGTGAGCCCGTGCATTTTTGTTAAGCGGTCATATTTGAAAATCTAAATAAAGGAAAGGGAAAACCCGCAGCTCTCCTTTCACTCAGATAAACATTACAAGTCGTGTTAAATTTATTTACATAACTAAACAAAATGATTATAGAATTTAACCTTTAAGAATTGAATGCTCATATGAAACATTTTCCACCTTAAATACACACGTGTTTTTCAGATGGGAATTTAGTCGAACTTTTTCCACGATGGNTTATTTCTATCTAGTGGAGTTTGGCGCTCATGAGTCGTACCTTGTGAAGTTGGCTTTGGATGGCAGCGATAAGGAATTGATGTGAGTATCAATAGATGGCCGGGGCGTCATTTTTCATTTATACTACCAGAACGTCTTGCTCATTTCATATTTTGTTCAAGCTTAGAAAATACCGCTACGTTCGGACATAGCAGCCATGTTGCATTTTTTAGATTCAAGATTCAAGAATTATTTTAATATACAAAAAGAGTTACAAATACTTTTATAATGGCTATTCACGATATTTCACGGTCGCCAACCACTGGGGCACTGGGGACGAATCATTAAAACGAGTACTCAAAGGCCAGCCTCCGTATAGTAAACTTCAATGGTGTCTAGATGTAAGGTCTTTGAGGTCTCGTTTCCAAGATTCGTCACTAATCCCGTAATATTGAAGGTCGTGAACTACAACCAGTTTTGAAAGTGGCGTAATAAAGCTCTATAGCCATATTCCTGCTAGGCCAGGACCAGAATAAGGACCTGATATCGATTTATTCTTTCTATTATTCTCATCTTTTAAGCCCTAAGAATGGAGCCAAATACGAGAGCACTGACCAAGGAAACGCTTTGTACTTGGATGGAGCCGATGACTTCGTCTTAGTTCCAAGATTTTCATTTTACGATAAAAGTTTTACATTTGGTGTCTGGGTCAAGTTAGCTGTCTCAAAGGATCACACGATTTTTGGTGACGACAACGGCWACGCTGGCCAAAAATCCTTCAATTTTATAGTCAACAGTGAAAATCGCGTAAAAGTGATCATGTGGTTTTCAGGTGCCCATACAGCTGTTACATATTCTTATGGGTTAGTATGTGATATAAATCAGTTGATATGACGTTGTCAAGTGTACAACATTGAACAACTCTGAGATGGAATGAAGACAAAGGATATTTCATAACTAGAGTTTATTCATGTAAAGCTCTTCAGTTCCATTCTTGACATTCACATAGGAGAATTTATATATATTTATAATCACCACGCGGTGTACGCGGTTATATGGTGTATGTGAGTGTGGTGGTAGGTGTATGTGTTTGTGGCGGTGGTGTTGTATGTGAATGTACTGTAGTGGTGTATGTGAGTGTGGTGGTAGGTGTATGTGATTGTGGCGGTGGTGTTGTATGTGAATGTACTGTAATGGTGTATGTGAGTGTGGTGGTAGGTGTATGTGAATGTGGCGGTGGTGTTGTATGTGAATGTACGTACTGGAGTGGTGTATGTGAGTTCGGTGGTAGGTGTATGCGAATGTGGCGATGGAGTTGATGCAAATGTGCTATAATGATGAATGTGGCGCAGGAGGTGGAGGTGTATGTGAGTGCGCTGTAGTGGTGTATGTGAGTGTGGCAGTGGTGTTGCAAAAGCCCTATTTTTTATACTTCCAAGTTAAACATTCCACAACAAAAGTTGGAATTTGTGCTATATACATAAACAAAGTACAATATTGTTTTTTTAGGTCAGTTCCCATCAATCAATGGTGTCATATTGGCCTTAGCTTT